GGATCTGCAATCCACACAATGACACTAGAGCGTGCACCAACTTATAATAGTTGGTAAAAATTGATTCAAAAGTTTTATCTCTATAGCACCCGTAAAATCAATTGTAAGTTTTTCTTCTTCTTTTCTTCTTCATTTTCTTTTATATCAATTCAACACATATAGTCAGTGTATAGATCATTTCTAAGCATTAAAGAACACAAGAACACCTCGGAGACCACATTTAAATGAAAACTTATGAATGAATGAGTGAAAATGTGAGATGACATTATTATTCTTTCTATATACAGGACTTCTCTTAGGAAAGTGTTCTATTCCTTGTAGACTTTTTCTCTTCCTAAAATTACAACTGCTTATGCACAGTATGCAAGTAGAATGAGTGACATTCAAAAAATACTTTCTATTCTCCAAGTAGACAACAAAAATTTCCATCATAGAAATTATGTTGAAGATAGACCTTATAACTTGTATATTTAGTCTTCCTCTGATCCTTGGCGTTCAGAAGCCTTATCAAGGATGATAGATTGCAAAGAAGGTGGATGATTGACTTTTAGAAGGGTTCGCTTTTTTCTCATGGAGCTTTGTTGCTGAGCTGGCTGCTAGGTATTTTGTTCTGTTTACCCAAGAAGGTGGATGATTGACTTTTAGAAGGGTTAGACGCTTGGAATCTAAGAAGTAAGGCCAAGGTAGTTGGAAACTGTGCCTTTAGAGCTCTTTTGTGGCACTTGTGGAAGGAAAGGAATGCAAGAACTTTTCAAGATAAGTCTTTACACTATGATATCTTCTGTAATTTTGTACAAAATATGGCCACTTGATGGGTTTCTTTACACAATTAATTTTGTAATTACAGCCTCTTGATGATTTTAAAAGATTGGAAGGCTCTCTTGTATAGGCTCGCTATGGGGGAATGGGGTGCTCACTACCTCCGGCCCTTAGGTTGTTCTTGCTTCTATTATGGAATATGTTCCTTCATTGGTTCTTAACAATATAATATATATATATATATATATATACTCAAAATAAAATGGATATATGGACGTAATTGAATATAGTGAATCACCTGAACAAAATGGCTCTATCAAGCGTTCAAAAACTTCATCACCAAGGTTCCGACGAACAAATTCTTCCACTGATTCCTCTCGACCCTGTTACCTTTGTCAGTATTACAACATATGAGAACCTAAAACTATAAATTTTTGTTTTTCTGAGATTGATGGGGCATGTAAAAGTGAAAATGTACTTCAATATAGAGAAAGAGGATTGAGAACACAAACTGGAGGAGGAGGGCGAATGCCCAGTGCACCAAAGCCTGCTCTGATTTTTCCACCAAGGCTCATCAAGTCAAAGAAAGGGAGATCATTAGGCTTCGCGGGCACTGGTCTGAGCTTTCCATCCCACAATACAAAGCGAGGTGCATCTGGATCTCCCAGAACTAGATCATCTTTCAAGCCACTATCTACCTGTCATAGTATAAGAATCAACAAATAAACAAATAACACAGGGAAAACGCACCCAAAGAAAAATACTCCCGAAAATAAACTTTCATACCACGGATAAAATCATAAGAATATAAATTCCTAAGTGATAGATACTAACGAATATGAAGATCCTCCCACTACACTAATTGGTGTAGTTAGTTGGAGCAAAAAAATCCCACGGAACTACAATCAACAAAACTAAGCAACTGAGAGTGGGTACCTTCTTCAACACATACTCAAGACAGATTGACATTTTCTAGAGTGACTTATCCGCAATAAAGAATTTACATTCACAGATTTCGGAGAAGATTTTCGCTCATAGACAGAGGGACCCTTTATTTATTTCTTTTTAGAGGAACGACATGAATAACTAACTAGGTTCACTAGTATGCTTGGAAAAATTTATCACATCACAAGTAAACACTTAGCATGGACTGATGAGAACATGTATTGATCAGAATATCCTTGCTTGTCTAATAATTATGGATCAGGTTACGGTGAATGGCATAATAGAAAAGGTCTTTTCAGCTGAGAGTAATAATTTGCCGTAGACAATGGCTGCTTGAACGAAAGAGGAGATAGTTGCCCACCTTACTTCGTCTTAGATTATAAAAACTACTTCAAAAAGTTGAAATTTTAAACGTTTCCTATCTAATTTAACCCCAAAGTCAGTTAGAACCTACAATTTTGCCCATTCCCTAAATAAATTTGGGCTTCCATGCTCAAGAGAAGGTCAAAAAAATCAGCCTCAATCCACGAGTGAAAGGACAGTGATATTATTTATGGCAATTCAGCACACAACCCAAAATGGAGAAGACGGGAAACAAATAACGAGAATGATACCAACCACCATAGTGAGAATAGGATCAGAGGGCTGGAAGCTATTAGGACCTTCTTCCCAGAGATAGCCATCCCTCTCAACAGTAGTAATGTTGCCTCCAACGCGACCCCTCGCCTCCGTAACGAGGATGTTAGGGGCAACATCAGAGTGCTTGGTCGCAAGGGCCTGAGCAATACAGAGGCCGCTAATTCCACCACCAATGACCACACAGTCCACAATGGAAGAGGGAGCAGAGCCCTTGGAAGGAGAAAGGGCGGTGGAGCCCTCGGCGATTGAGCATCTGAAGTTGGGGCGAAGGCGATTGATACGGAGAGAGATGCGGAGTGGGTGGAACGAAGAAATGTTTGAGGAGCGGAGAAGAGTGGAAAGGTGAGGACGCCGAAAGGGGTGGTCGGTGAGGAGCGTGGCGCCGGTGGCCATGGCGGAGAGGTAATTGAAAATTGATGGTGAAGAAAGGATGCAGAGTTAACTGTGGATTCGTTATCTACAACATTTTGGAATGACCTGCAAGTCCCCGAACCTGTAGGGGGCCATTGACAAAAATGAGGACAAATTAAGGGGCATTAAAGAAATTTGGATGGTTTTTAATTTCTTTTAAAAGTTTAATTTTTTTAAAAATTTAAAAAATATAAAATATTATTAAATTCGAAAGGTCGGAAAGCACCTAGACTAAAATGGAATGAGACCTACAAGGTAAGTAGTTTGTCTCGGGTGGATGCCTCCTAAAAGTAACGAAGGTGTGCAAAGATAGGCCAAGCTAAGATTTTACTCGTGAGCGTAATGGTATTAGTCTACTTGACTATGAGACGGGTTGGTCAAACAAAGACGAAAGTTGACCATAGTAATCACTTTTTCGATTTCGAGGCTTTCCATCCTGGAACAAAACTAGACCTCATTCCCTCTATGTCCATTCAATCTGAATCTTGCCACGGTTCCTGCAATCATTTATATAAGTTAACACCAGTACTAAATCTACCGAATTTAAAAATGATAATTGATATATTCATTAAATTATGACGGAATTTTTTAATCACATTTATCGCTAAATATATTATTTTATTACAAGAAACTTTTATTTTATTTTTATTTAAAAATGAGTAATATGCACTAAATTATCTTATATGGATAATCTTCTAAATTTTAATGAGGTAGACTTTAAATCAAGACTTTATTTATTTATTTATTTTTTATATAACATTTTTTTAATTTAAAATGTAATAGATATTCTAAAATTACATTTAAAAGCTACTTTAATTAATTTTAATCATAAGTGGAACTAAATATCAAAAAAATGCATTGTAACTAAACACTTTTGTAAAATTAATTATAAACTAAAATACTTAGCTTAAAATATTTATTCTAAACTCACTCTCAAATATTCCTTAATTTATTGAAAATAGCTTTTAATGGTATAAAAATAAAACTAAATATTAAAACAATTATACCAAAATTAATTTTAATAAACAAATAATAAATTAGTTTTCTAAAATTGTTTTCAAACATGTTGTAAGTATCTTATCCACAAAGCTATGCAAATAAATAGGTATACGAATGAACCGAGAGCATGTTCGCATGGGAGTTTGAGGATAAGATGACTAGGAAAAGTCGAAAGGAAATTAAAGTTATTACTTATACTAATAATGTGCACCTTCCTTCTCGATGGCTCAATCAAAATTTCATAGTTAAGCGTGCTTTTCTATGAGTAATTCTGTGTTGGGCGGCTTCTTGGAATTTTTGTGTAATATATCTGAGTGAAAACGAAATATGCTCAGAGGATTTGTGTTTGGTCGGCAAAGATAGTCTTGACACACTCTTTTACTAAAGACAGTAGATTGTCTCGATCATGCTCATAGAACTTCGACCAAAAGCCCGGAGAAATGGAGACCAATTGCACGTCCTCAACCTCCCTATGGTCAACCTCTCAAGGAGGCATGCATCCTTGCTAAATTCAGTTTGGTTCATCTTTTAACTTAATTTGCAATATAAACATAACAAACTCTAATTCTCGTATAAATACTTATCTTCAACCTAAAGAACGTAGGTTTTTGTTACATGCTCTAAACCTTGCTATACATTGAAGCCTGTATGACAAGCATCACACCGGCGTGCAGTTTTCTTTCCTTTTTTGAAGGTCACGTTATTTTTCCTGCAAACATATGTTGTTTTTACGTAAATATTAGGTACGTTTTCTTGTCTCAATTTTGAACTTATATTTAATTAGTTAAACTATGTTTGGATTAATACAAGTGTAAGACATAAAGACTGTCACGAACACGAAAATCATTTATGCTATAGACAACTTACACATTATCCTTTTTCATCGAATCATGCCAATGCAAGGAGTGTTAGTATATACTTAGCACATTACTCACTTCTACTTGAAGCTGCTACCATTGTTGCTCTTTCAACTAAAGCTCCACTCCACCTTATTCTCATATATACCTTATTGATTCCAAACAAATTGATTTTTTTCACCAAACAAATAACCCTTTTTTTTTTCTACTCTTTTATTTTTTTTATATATAAAAATAAAAGTGTCTTGATAAATCCATAAATTTAGAATCTCGCATAAAAAATATTTCTAAATTTTAAAAATTGTCTAACAAGTTCTAAATTTTCAATTTTGGATCGGAAAAGTTCCTCAATTTTCAATTTTAATCTAAATTTGTAATTTAACCTAAAAATATTACAAATATAACACAATTATAAGCACAATCCGAATAAAAATATCTCAATGATCGACACATGGTCAGTTCTCAATAGATGTGACCAAGCACAAGATGGCTAATGTGTCTCGAGACATGGGATGACATCACGATGCATGAGTCGTGTTATTGAAAATGGAGAAGACAATGAGATACGACATTATTGTGTTGCAGACAATTGAACACACACAGAATGACGTATGTGACTAAACAAGCTTGGATTTTGCACAAGTTGTGTTCGATTATCGAAGATAAACATCATCAAACATTCGACGAAGCCACAAAGTTCAGTGAAAAATCTGCATAGGGACTGAATTTCCTCTTAAAACTTGTTGTGGGCGTGTCAAAATCACGACGCTGCACAGTTAAAAAAGTACCACGTGTCATTGTGATAAACATCTATCATTTAATTTATGACATAGCATCTATCAATAAAGGCGTTCATCATTAATAAATTTATAAATATAGTAGATCAGCTGTCAAGATAAAAATGGTAAATAAATAAAAAAAAAACTTCCATTACTAATATACTCCATAAATGGTATATCTTTCATGCATGGATTCAAAAGGAAATTGCATAAAATGTCTACACAAACTACAAAAATACATATCTTTCTGGGGACATGTGTGCAAATAAAGCATCCAAATTTCCCGTCCTGAATATAAAATTTTATCCCTCCTTTTGGTAACCACTAGCTTTTCCATTTGTGTGGCTCTAAGCTTATGATATTATAAGATAAAATAATGGCCAAACTCATCAGAGATCTATGAGATTGCATTACAAGCTTACAAGTTTACAAGTAACAGAAGCAAAGTGAATTCTTCATCATCTATGTATAGAAATGGGATCCTTGTTGACATCCACCTACATCTATCCTGTCAAAATTACTTGATGTATCAAAGTTCTGTTGGGATTTCCTTTATATTATTCCCAACCCCATTTCTTGCATCATACAAACATTGCATTCTTGGAGAATATTTTGTAATAATGTTCCTTTTGGAGGCCTTTGGAATCATATATCTACTTGCATGAACTCATATCCATTTTTATCAACTAAAGCCAATAAACAGGGCATCGGATCGACATCGAGCTATATATACTAGAAGCATTTGTCATTTTTAACCAACCAGCCATTTCCATTCTTCTTGCCTAGTTCACTAAGGTTTATGTTCTTACCTCTTTTTTTCGATTAGCATGAGCATTGACTAACCTCGGTTTGGTCGTTGTTATCTCTGATCTTATTGTATGCCTTTTCTTATAGGTACTCTTGCAAGAGATGGATGCTGGCAGGAACAATGGAAGCTCCACATATGAATGCTTGTTATTTGGTATTTTACCTATACAAATAAGAGAAGTATATGATTATGAAATGTTTTAGAATTGAGTTGTGAGGAAAATATGAAATATAATATGTTGCTGACTTCTTTAATAAAGCTGATATATGTGTCTACAGACATGGACGATACTTTGTACCCTAGAAGTTGTGGGATTAACCTGGCATGCCGGAAGAAAATTGAAGGTAAAGTTTAACACAAATGATTTCAAGTTGGAAAACACATAAAAGTCGTACTATTAACGGATGATGTTATTGTTTGGATAATAATGAATGCAGAATTTATGTTGAAGTATCTGCATATGGAGGAAAGTGAAGTGCCTAGGATGTGCTTGGATTTGTATGTGGAATATGGAACAACAATGGCCGGGCTAAAGGTGAGTTCGAGGTTATTAATATCTTAATCAGTTGAGCTATGTTTAAGCTGACACTTCACTACGTCTAGTGACATGAAGATAATGATGATATGCGTGATATTCTTACCAGGCTTTGGGTTATGAATTTGACGATGACGAGTATCACGCCTGTGTTCATGGTACCTTACCTTATGAGGCACTGAACCCTGATCCAGTTTTGAGGAACCTCCTACTTTCCATGCCACAGCGTAAAATTGTAAATAAACAACAAAAGTCATAGCAATTGATAAAAACATACCAGTATTTGTATACTTCTTTGTGATCCTACATAACTTTGTGCAGATCTTCACAAATGCTGACAAGGGCCATGTAGCTCAAGTTCTTCACAGGTTGGATTTGGAAGATTGTTTTGAAGGGGTTATATGCTTTGAAACTCTTAATGACCAATCTTCAGAAAGCAAAAGCAATGGCATCCTCTGCAAGCCCTCCATTGAAGCCATTCAAGCTGCCATCAAAATTACTGATATTGACCCCAAGAAAACGGTAACCAGGCCGACTATCAATATATTTATTTAGCTTTTCCCTGTTCCAGAGAATTAAAAAAAATCACTAAATTTTTTTTCCTTTTCCATCCTCAGATCTTTTTCGATGACAGCACCCGAAATATTGAGAGTGGAAAAGCAGCAGGCCTTCACACAGTTATAGTAAGTATTATATTTGTTTTGGTTGGCATTGGGCTTAATCAATTGATCATGATGCCCAGAATCAATCTTCAATGCCATCATGAAAATATTGCATCACCTGCAGGTTGGAAGATCAGAGTTAGTCCCTGGGGCTGACCATGCCTTAGGTAGCATACACAATATAAAAGAGGCATTACCAGAGCTATGGGAAGGCGAAGACGTCGACCAGCCAGAGCAGGCTAAGCAGTCCCCTGCAGTTGAAACTATGGTCCATGCATAACCATGCCCATCCTCAATTTTGAATTAAGCATCTTCATGGCTTACTAAGATGAATGCATTGACTATAAACTTATAAGAATTTAAAAATATATTTACAGGCAGAATGCAAAATAAGTAGTATAACCCGGAAAAACCTTTCTGTTCTGCAAGCTTTGTTACTTAATGTGGAACTAATTCATACCAAAGAACTGTACCTCACGCCCACATGGGTGGCTATTTAGACGAATTTGCTTCATTTGTTTCTCTGTTACCTATGAATATGCTGTAGCATTTCTCAATCTACTAATAGCTTACAGTTTTAACTATGGTATTGCTGCAATCATAATATATTTCTCGATACTCATAGATAACAGCACTGAGTCTCACGAGTCTCACGTGTCGACCACGCTAAAAAAATTTAAATGTAGAACAGGAATTTTAAAGATGAAAATAGATCACAAAGATACATCAGTTACTAGAGAATACAAGAGGCCTTATCATCCCTCAATATATATGTGATTCCCAACAATCAACAATTCCATAATATTCTCTACTCAGAACTAATAATGTTAATCGTGTGCATATCTAAGCCTCAAAAAACTTAATAGCTACAGTTACAACAAGGCTAATCAATCATCATCCGTCAGCCTTTAGTTCTCCGCAATTAACAATTCTGCATGGCAAGCGAGGAATATCTAATCTGCTTGTTTCTTGTGATTCAATTTTTCGCACAACATCCATTCCTTCGATAACGTGTCCAAACACAACATGGCGATTGTCCAACCATGGAGTCTATTTGATGCAAAATGTAGATGCATTAATTATTGACAGAGACGTGGAGTAAAAGAAACCTATGTTAACAAAATGTTATGCTGAGACAAAAAAGTATGCTTTGAATTCAATAATTCATATGATTGCTTTGAGTTCAAGAATTCAATGAACATATGAACATCAGTTCAGCCTTCCAAGATATTTCATGTCTAGAACTCATGATCTAATTAGCCATCCAAGATTGACAAGTTTCTCTTATTTTGATATATAATACATGGAAACCAATCATTTTTTTTTCTAACAATAAGAAACCATTTCTATTAAAAGAAAAAGGATATATAAAAAGAAAAGGTCTCCAAACTTGATTCATAGAGTTTGAAGAGTAGATTATGAATTTTATGGAAGGCTGGAAGGAGGAGAAAACCAAACACTATCTGCGAACTGCGGGTGATTAATACGAAAGAAGCCCCTATATACCTTGAATTCCTTCACCACAGTATGTCCATTTCCTAACACTATGGAACATAAAGGATCTCCTTGACCAAGGAACAGATGCTCCTAAATCTGCTTGATTGTCTAGATCATTAGCTAATTATTTAGTCCTAAAGGTTTTTGAACAGAAGGTCTCCTTAGTTTGGAGGATAATTAACAAAAATAACAATCCACTAATAGACCCTTTATAAATCAAGCTTAGATCAGTTTCATTCATTCTTCTGCAATCATACATGACCTGATTTTCAACAAAAGACAAAGTACTAATCGATGCAACAAATAACCAGCATCCAATTCTCATATTAAGTCATTTTTGCAGGGTCAGATTTTTACTCGTAATGATTAGTAGTTTGAGTTTCTTTATCAAGTCCCACTACAACTCAATAGATACTTTTCTACAATTAAACTTTGTCATAAACAGAAAAGAATTGCAAACCAGAGTTATTGAAATGAAAGAGGAACAATTCCATTCATGTTCAAAGCAATAGGCTGCAGAAGTTGAATTACCGAAACAGTGCAGATGAAGAATTGGCTTCCATTAGTATTAGGTCCGGCATTGGCCATGCTAAGTACACCAGGCCCTACATGCTTCACTGCAAATAAGTCAAATAGTATTAGGTGTCGTTGGATCTTTATTTTTATTTCCTGACATTCTTCTACCCAGAGGCTGATACCAAAAGGTTAACCGTTCCAGAATCACAACGGTCATATAGATAAATAGTCATGACATACATGAAAAATTCTCGTCTCGGAAACTGGGACCATAGATACTAATACCTCCAGTTCCCTGCAGCAAAAATAACAACAATACAGCTTAAATCAGATTGGAGGCTTCTTTTACAGAAAGCCTAGGATTCCATTTGTGTGTATGGGTATTTAGTATATACACATAGAAGTGTATATATGTTCAGAGAGAAAGAGTGAGTACATCTCCATTAGTGAAGTCCCCTCCTTGAATCATAAAATCTTTAATCACCCTATGGAAGGAACATCCTTTATACCCATATCCCTTCTCTCCTGCACCATGATACTTCATTTGATAATAAATGAACCAAGTGGAAAAATTATGTTCCAAGAGGAAGTCAAAAATTTTAAATTTAAAAAATTAAAAGAAAAATCTTCAAGAAGATGGTGGCATTCCATTTCCAACTTGCCTGTGCACAAGGCTCGGAAATTCTCAACAGTTCTTGGAACAACATCTGCAAAAAGTCCTATCACGATTCTACCTGCTGGTTCACCTCCAATTTCTACATCGAAAAAGCACTTGGTTGATACTTCTGCTTGCAGCTCTACGTCCTACATTGTTTTATAGGAAACATTCAGATAACAATTAAGATAAACATCCTACATTCATAGAAAATATAACATTTAAGATTAACAAAACAGATAACTAATATGAGGACATAATCAATAACAACAACGCAGAAAATTTCTGAACAAAGAATCAACTCAATCAACAAACATTAAAATATCTAATCCCTTCTAAGTAGAAAAGCTATACATGTACAACACATACACTGCACTAGAAAATCTTTATTTCAATCTAAACTCATAACATGAGACGGAATAGTTTCCCCTTTTCTTTCAGCCAGTGGACAGATTAAATTCAAAACTAAGAAGGAAGCGAGCATAATAACTCATTTACTTTTGCCGCGGTGCTTGCACAGACGAGTCTTCTGTTCTTCACGGGAAACGCTTCTCTCAAGATAGGAAAACTCGAGCGTCGAGATCCCCACGTCGATGTTCTTACAGGAGAGTTCATAGGTCGAACTTGCGATGAAATTGATACCAAACTCGTGGAACTACATATCAGTTGAGTCTTTGGAGACTTCAACGAGCGTAGGAAATATTGCCCCTGTACATGAAACAAATCAACATTGGGATAAGAAGAACAGAATTAAACAAAAATAACACGAATCAGACGATTTCATGTTATGAAGAAAAGATGAAACTTGGAATCTGATATGAACAACGCAAATGCAGATGTAGTAAAGTTGGAAGCACAGTGGGAGATAGAAGATAACCTGTGAGGGAGAAGGCAAAGTGCCTAACACACCCATTGGAACGGCGGAGGCCATGGCTGTCATCTGCAAGAAATTTCACCGGATAACTTCTATATGCCGTGGCTTTGGTTGTGTTGATCAACAATATCTGTTCACCTATTCAATCTCTTTTAAAAATAACAATAATAAAAGAATATAGTTTTGAAAAAAATATTATTTATCTTTTGTAATAGTAAATTTAGGCTATAAAATATATCTCAAATTTTATTTTATTTTATTTAAAAAAAAACTCAAAAACACCTAAAAGGGTTTTTAAAAAATTATTTTTTAAAATATTCCAAAAATATTTTAAATTTTCAAAAATTTGACTGATTAAAACTTTTTAATAATTTCAAAAGTAGTCTTATTATTGCTGGTAAATTTTTAAAATTAATATTAAT